GAAGCAGGTTGTTGTTTCTGGCAGAATCTTACCCTACAAAAGGAAATGTTATTTAGTTCAAATATGATTGACAAGTCCCAACTAACTAATGTACTAAACTTATGGTGTGAATGTCATTTTTTTATATACAGGTTAAAATTTATGACTCCATAGTTGTAGAAACATAAGGTGGCAGTCCTGCAAGATTAAGAGGGTAACATGGCAATCTTGCTGGATCAGGAGGTGGTGTCACTAGGTGAAATAATCGATAGAGTTCTATAAGATCTTATTTTGTTGCGTTCTTCTTGATATCCACAAAAACAACAATTTCTTTCACGCACAGGGTACAAATACAATCGGCTAATGTCTTTCAATTCGCTATCGGAACCTGGTATTAGAAAAGCATTGGAGCACTTATGAGTTTTCATTTCTCTTCACTGTCCGCTGATGGTTGTCATCCCTAACCAGACTCACATTAGCTAGTTTTTTTAGAACTTTATTATTCGTGTTGTAAAAGAATTATGTAATGTGGATCTGTATGAAATTATTCTTTTTCTTGTAAAAAATATCGTATGTTTTGAGTATAACAACATTTTAGTATTCTACTTTATCTTGAATGATATTGTTGAACCTTTAATTATTTATTCTTACTAATGTATATCATTTATTTAAAAAAATTAAAAATATTTTGCTAATTTTTTTTATATATATTTGATGATATAATATGGATTGTTAGCTACAATACATAAATTCTTGTGGCTAAAGTTGATCATGCCAAATTCTTCAGTTTATTGCTACGAAATTATGGAATTCATAGCTAAAAGTATGAATTCTTAGCTATGATATAAAAATTATTGTGGTAAATACTTTAATGTGTTGCTATGAAATTTTGAATTCATAGTTAATCACAAGTACTATTGCTACGGGAATAAATTATAAGTTTAGCCACGAAAGTTGAGCTTGCGTGACAAACAAATTAAATTTTTTGCTACAACACAAAATCTTATGGCTACAATATGAAGATAGCTACAAATTTTATTTGTCGTGGCAAAAGAATAAAATCACTTGCTACAAGTATATTTTTTGTGGCAAGATATTTTTACCATTACAGATACAACATAAAATTTTTTATGGCAATAAGTATTAGTCCTTAGCCACGGATCATGTAAAGTCTGTAACTAACTTTTAGCTACGCGGTTTTGCTACGAATGCTACGGAAAAAAATATTGTGGCTAAAGTGTTTAGCCACGAAAATTTTTATATTTAGCTACAATATATTTCGTAGCTATAAATGCATTATGTTGTAGTGTGCACCAGAACTGAAGCACACCGGCAATGGTTTCTAAGTCCAAATTTACGTTGTAGCCTATCCGAAACTCACCCGAGCCTTCGGGGCTTCAAACCAAACATTCACACAAGTCCAAAAATATTATACGAAGTTGCTCGTGCGATCAAATCGCCAAAATAACACCTAGAACAATGAATTGAACACTAAATTTCAAATGAAATTTTCAAGAAAACTTTGGAACTTCTATTTTAACAATCGGACGTCCGAATCATGTCAAACCAACTCCGTTTCTCACCAAATTTGACAGACAAGTCATAAATATATTAGTTGACCTATACCCGATTCAGGAACCAAAATACGAACACGATATCAATAAAGTCAAACATTTGTCAAACTTTCAAAGTCATCAAGCTTTTAAATTTTCAAATTCAACAAACTGCGATAACTCGAGTTAGGGACCTCTGAATTCGATTCCGGGAATACGCCCAATTCCCAAATTATGATAGGACCCACCGAGATCATCGAAATACGGATCCGAGTTCATTTGCTCAAAATGTTGACCGAAGCCAACTTAAATGGATTTGAAGGCAAATTTTCATATTTTATCAGTTTTTAACATAAAAACTTTCGGAAAAACACCTAGACTGTGCACGCAATTTTTTTTTGAATCTTGAAAAAAAGATGTATTTGAGGCTTCGGAATACAGAATTAGATTCTAAAACATAAGATGACCTATCGGGTCATCACAGTCCCCCTAAAACCTACCAGGTCCGGGACGAACGGGGCTGGGATCGAGCCAAAACCGGGCCGAACAGGGATGTCTCACCCCATTGGACACCCAAACAAAAATCGTTAGCGAAAATTTACACCAACATCTATTTAAGCTATTTCTCCAATTTTAGGCATTTTTTACCACTTTTATAAATAGCCTTTTTTCATATTTAGAGTTTTTTTCACCATTTTGAGAGCTATAGAGCTTGGATTAAGGAAATTTTTATCTACTTTATTGGGGTGCGTAATGAAACTTGAGTATATGATTATTACATGAATTATCTGCCATTTTGCCTTAGAATCAAGGATTTCAAAGAGGAAAAAAGAGATTTTGAACAAAAACTTAAGAAAGTAAATTTTGGAGCTTTGGACTCAAATTTGGAGAAAAAAAAAATATTTGGACTTGTGAGGTTATGGGTTCACCGGAATCTAACTCTGATTTCAGGGTTTGATCATGTGGACCTGTGGTTGACTTTTGTTAACTTTTGTTGATTTTGGACAAGATCAAAATCTTTTGCTTGGAAAAATGAGTCTTATGACTTGGATCGACTTTATGGAGAACCCTTTGGGCTAAGACGTGGCTCGTTTGATGGTTTTGGAGCAAGAAAAGGTGGATTTTAAAGAATAAAGCTAGCATGAAAAGAGGTAAGTATCTTGGTAACCTTGATTTGAAGGAAGTTTTTCTAAAATTGACTTATGTGTTACATTCGACGTGTTTGAGGGTGATGTATATACAAGGTGATAAGCGTATATGCGGGTACCACGTGTTTTTCATACTTGGGGTAAAATCTTAGGTTTTTATGCTTTATTTTGCTACATGCTTTTACTTGTTGCATGTTATATTGGTGTACGACTACTTGATCATCTTATTCATGCTAGAATAATATTATAGGCATCATTCGCTTGCCATTTTAACATTATAGATTCCGTATACTTGTTTTACATGGTCGAACTACATAGTCATATGTTGTTTCAAATATGCATGTTTAACCAAATATATGATTCTTTGGTCAAAGTTAAAGACAAATAGAAATTCGGGCTACTGATAATCAGGAGACGAAAAAGAAATAATAGACTTTTTGAGAATGACAAATAAGCAGTAGATAAGTTTGTATTTTAATGTAATGTTGATGGTATCCTCTATCCTTACAAATGACCTGACCTCCTCCTTTTATAGTTGATCCTAAATAAAGGAGTAATACCTTAGCCTTAATGAGACAACTATGAGCAATAAATGACATTAAATAAGACGTTACACAATCATTCCTATTTAATACCAATTCTCTAACGTATTGGGTATTTAATATTGAATTTAGACTCCTTTTTGTCATCATATCCATGTCTTCAATGCCTTCTGATCTCTTGGCTTTAAATGACCTAAATAGGTACGAAGCTTGTATTATTCGAATTGCCTCTCGTGCCTATTTAGCTTTCCTTTCCCCGTATCTGTTGTCACTCGTGCCTCTTAACTGATCATTATGTTTTGACCATTTGATCAGTCATCGTGTCATGCCACGTCACCTTCAATGTAAATTCAATTTTTTTCCCAATACAATGCACTTTGTTAGTGTATATATATATATATATATATATATATATATATATCTTGTTCTCATTACTTGTTGATGTTAAGATGTTAAAGCGCGTGGACTCAATTCCTATTTTGAGGTATCAGTTAGGGCATACGTGAATTCACGTTCCTGTTGAAGTATCAGTTAGGGCATGTCCTATCATGTTCTTGTGGGGAGTGTATATTTACGTTTCTATTTGTGTGTGGATATAGATTTGTCCCTCTAGAATTACCGAATACCGGAATCCCACCAGCAGTGTGCATGCAGGTTCAAAACTCGATCGATTTTTGGTTTGAATATGACACCGGATGATGAGATTGAGCATAAAGGTGGAAGTTTTATTTTGTTTAAGTGATCCTTTATGCACATTCATATATTTTTACATGTTTATTCATGCATATCATTTATATATGGTGTTTTGATGCATTCTTTCACATGCTTAGAACTTATTAGCAGGTCGTAGGCACTTGGGATATATTGAGTTAATGTAAAATTTTGAAGAATTGGTATATGCTTTTGGTCTTGTTATGTGATGCTTATTATCTCCTGCATTAATTGGATTTATCATAGTCGTCGTTTCTTTGTTGTTTTCTCTGTTATCGCGTATTCTTGTGAATGACACAAACTATGAAGAAAGATTATCTTTTATCAAAGCAATGCTACTGCTTTGTTGCGGTTAGACTTGATATTTATTGAGTACACGTAGTTATCGTAGTCATACTATACTTGTGTTGTGTATGTAGATACCGAGCCTAATACTAGTGAAATTTTCGAGCCTACTTTGAATTTTGATTGGAGACTCGAGGGTGAGTTCCTTGCTAGAATGAAAAAGAATTAAAAAGTCCCACATGATACATTTCATTTTCACAAAAAAAGAATGGAAAAGGGGGGAATAAAATACAAAGTCTATTCTCTTAGCAGTATAACATAATCAAAGTCAATGTATGCAATAAGAAAAGTAAAATACAATAAATAAGAAAAAGTCTACCTTTCTTACATGTATATAATTTATTGAAAGATAACACAGCCTCATTTTTTTATTTTCCTTTTCCCTTTTAGTTCAAAACCTACCCAATCAAGTAAAAGCAAACCAAAGTCAAAGAAACACAATATATTCTTCAATCACGGATAATGGTAATAATGTGATTTCGGAGGAGGTGGCGGTGGCGGTGGTGGAGGAGGTGGCGGGGGTGGTGGAGGACTTCTTGATCCACAACCAAATGAACGGCAATCAACTGGACCTCGTGAATAAAAAGCCTTACATTCATTAACTGAACGTTGTGATGGCCTATAGGGTATACAATTCTTCTTATCATTTTTATCCTTCAACTTGAGACAAATCTTCGGTTCATCACAGAAATAATTATAAGAGTAGGTGAAATTCTTCAACGTCGGCAACGAGCAAATACTTGCCGGAATCTCGCCGGAGAGCTTGTTATGTGCCACGTTGAGATGTTCCAATTTCTTCATGCCCGCAATTGTCTCCGGCAACTTCCCAACAAGATTGTTAAAGCTTACATCAAAAACCGTCACATTTTTCAAGAACCCTAGTTCTTGTGGCAAACATCCATTTAAACTAGCATTCATGAGAATAATCTGATTTAGCGTTTTCCCCATTTTTGCTATACTTGGTGGTATACATCCCGTGACATTGATATTTGCCATAACCAAAGCAGAAACAGGCGAGTTTCCTAAGTTTTTAGGCCATGTAAACTGAAAATTGTTGTTGTTTATGAAAAGGGCATCCAGTTTTCGATCCCAGAGTCGAGAAGGGACATTTCCTTCGAATTGGTTATACCTAATATCAAGAAATTTTAAAGAAGAAAGTGAAAGAACAACCGAAGGAAATTCACCACACAAAAGATTGTTACTCACGTCAAGTTCATAAAGAAGTTGGAGCTTAGAAAAGGATTTTGGGACAGTGCCTGAAAATCTATTGGAGTTTATATGAAAAACGGCTAAATCTGTCAACAGGCCAAGATCTTCAGGCAAGTAACCAGAAATATTTGCATGGTTGAGGTCAATTCCGGCAACGGTGGTGATTTCAGGATTATCTGGTGCCGGAGCACAGTAAACTCCGGTGTAGTTGCAAACTTTGTATCCATACCAATTCTTGGTGAAGTTTCTAGGGTCAGAAGTCATGACATGTTTCCAAGCTTGTAGAGCTATGTAAGCATTGAAAAGTCTAGGGTTTTGGTCATATTTGATTGGTGGTGGAGGAGGGGAAGCTTGAAAAGAGGGTTTTGAGAAGAAGAAAATGATGAAAAAGAAGCCAAAAAGGGCTAAGTTGATAAACTTCATGATTTTTGGATATTAGTTTTAGGAGTTTAGGGTTTAGGACAACATTTGATGTGTTCGTGAACAAGTTAATGTATTATGTCGGATGTTGTTTAGAGAAGCAGAAAGGTTTGATATTTAAATGGCTATTGGTGGAGGCTAAGTGGCTGGTAGAGAGAGTATTTTCTTTAACTTAATTAAGTTAAATAGAAAAAAAAATTAAATTAAATAGTGATTAGGAATTAGACAACTATAATTAGGATATTAAAAATTGACCAAATCTTACTTAATGCTGATTTTTCTGCTAGTTGGTGATATATTCGTAGGAGATTTCTTTTTATAAATATGACTTTCTTAAGGGAGGTAGTACCAAGAGTTTTCTTATAATCATCTCGACGCCTTATGTCTATCCTTTAAACAATGTATGATCTGGAGTTGATGTACAGTATAGACATAACTGATGATGTTGTGCAATTGTTAGAAAGTTTGATATTCTTTCCATTTCCAACAACTTCCAAACCATATATTAAATCCACAAGCTGCAAATTAAAAACATCGCCATATCATGTATTTATTGTTATTATTAAGCACGATTTCTGCCGAGGTCATACGGCCCGATCCAGATTGTCGTGTACACTGCCGAGGGACGTGCGGCACGATCCATAGATGCATCTATCCTGCCGAGGCGTTCGGCCCGCTCCACAAGAAAGAAGGACATTTTCTTATATACCTCCGGAATGAGAGTATATTTATTATAAGATCAATTTGAGAGGATAAACAATTTATTTTAACAATTAATTAATTTAAACAAAAAATTTAAACATACGAGATTTACNCAACTTGAGACAAATCTTCGGTTCATCACAGAAATAATTATAAGAGTAGGTGAAATTCTTCAACCTCGGCAACGAGCAAATACTCGCCGGAATCTCGCCGGAGAGCTTGTTATGTGCCACGTTGAGATGTTCCAATTTCTTCATGCCCGCCATTGTCTCCGGCAACTTCCCAACAAGATTGTTAAAGCTTACATCAAAAACCGTCACATTTTTCAAGAACCCTAGTTCTTGTGGCAAACATCCATTTAAACTAGCATTCATGAGAATAATCTGATTTAGCGTTTTCCCCATTTTTGCTATACTTGGTGGTATACATCCCGTGATATTGATATTTGCCATAACCAAAGCAGAAACCGGCGAGTTTCCTAAGTTTTTAGGCCATGTAAACTGAAAATTGTTGTTGTTTATGAAAAGGGCGTCCAGTTTTCGATCCCAGAGTCGAGAAGGGACATTTCCTTCGAATTGGTTATACCTAATATCAAGAAATTTTAAAGAAGAAAGTGAAAGAACAACCGAAGGAAATTCACCACACAAAAGATTGTTACTCACGTCAAGTTCATAGAGAAGTTGGAGCTTAGAAAAGGATTTTGGGATAGTGCCTGAAAATCTATTGGAGTTTATATGGAAAACGGCTAAATCTGTCAACAGGCCAAGATCTTCAGGCAAGTAACCGGAAATATTTGCATGGTTGAGGTCAATTCCGGCAACGGTAGTGATTTTAGGGTTATCTGGTACCGGAGCACAGTAAACTCCGGTGTAGTTGCAAACTTTGTATCCATACCAATTCTTGGTGAAGTTTCTAGGGTCAGAAGTCATGACATGTTTCCAAGCTTGTAGAGCTATGTAAGCATTGAAAAGTCTAGGGTTTTGGTCATATTTGATTGGTGGTGGAGGAGGGGAAGCTTGAAAAGAGGGTTTTGAGAAGAAGAAAATGATGAAAAAGAAGCCAAAAACGGCTAAGTTGATAAACTTCATAATTTTTGGATGTGAGTTTTAGGAGTTTAGGGTTTAGGACAACATTTGATGTGTTCGTGAACAAGTTAATGTATTATGTCGGATGTTGTTCAGAGAAGCAGAAAGGTTTGATATTTAAATGGCTATTGGTGGAGGCTAAGTGGCTGGTAGAGAGAGTATTTTCTTTAACTTAATTAAATTAAATAGTGATTAGGAATTAGACAACTATAATTAGGATATTAAAAATTGACCATATCTTACTTAATGCTGATTTTTTTATGAAAATAATCTGCTAGTTGGTGATATATTCGTAGGAGATTTCTTTTTATAAATATGACTTGCTTAAGGGAGGTAGTACCAATTTCTCTTATAATCATCTCGACGCCTTATGTCTATCCTTTAAACAATGTATGATCTGAAAGTTGATTTACAGTATAGACAAAACTGATGATGTTGCGCAATTGTTAGAAAGTTTGATGGGTATTAGATACTGATCTCACCAAAAACACGGTTCTCTTGTTATTTACAACTTGGTATTAATTTAGTTTAACTTAAAAGTATTATTTTGTACGCATATGTTGTCAAAAAGCATAATTTCTACAGAGATTTTAGAACAGCGCCAGAGTCTCGAAAATTGAGTAGAAATTATAGATTTTCTTTCTATAAAAGAATTTAAACTTTTTACCAGTACAACTTATAATTTTAAAAAGCTAGGACGGACTGTCCGTGTCCCACTTATACTGATTATTATAGTTGAAAGTTGATTTCTCGGAAGCCTAACCTTAAAAAATAAAATATAAAGTGTTAGTTAGAAATTCGGAAACATTGAACACAAATAGCAATAATGTTACTAGCTAGCTTCCATTAATTAGTTAGTACATTGTGATCTAAACACATCAGACATCGTTTAATTTGGTGTTGCATGCCTTTCATGAATTGACTCAGTGAATGATGAGGAAGTTCATTAATTTGTGGAATATTAATAACTTCTCAGTTAGCATTAAGTATTCTTCTTTTTCGTATATTTTGATACAGTTTTAAGTTCTATATATCATGGTATAAAATTTATTTACATAATAAAGTCATTTATTAGGTAATTATAAGTAAATTTTCTTATAAACATTAATGGTAATGTGATAAAAATGACAACTGACCAACTATCCCAAGGTAAACTTTATTAATAGTGTAATACACTACAAAAAAAGGGGTAAATAGTGGAGGCTAAAATTGCAGTTTGCGGAGGTTATAAACCTCCGCTATTTGCTGTCACGGCGGTTAAGCATCGCCACTATTATTTTGCGGCAAATAAATGCGGGGGTTTCCCGAACCGCTGTAATATCAAATAGCGGAGGTTTCTAACCTCCGCAAACTATAATTTTAACCTCCGCAATTTCATGCGCGAAGATAGATTATTATTTTTAAAATTTAATATTTTTTTGAGTGCGGGGGTTGTAAACCCCGCAATTCCTTATGTGTACACCATTGGATCTGATCAATTTCTCTTTGGGGGTTTTAATTATCCATATCTATTTTTAAATATATTATAGAATTGATTTTTAGATCCCCGTAAATTGTATAATTTTGTGGGGCTAATATATTACTGCAAAAGTAACTAACCTCCGCAAATAAACCTCCGTAATTTACCCTTTTTTGTAGTGAAATTTGTATTATCAATATATATATAACTTAAATTCATTTCGATAAGTGTGGGTAATTCACTATTGTATGACTACATGACCTGGCTAGCTGCTTTTCTTATTAGTAAAGCTAAAGAAGAGCTTACATTTTAACTTGATACAGAGTTGAAATTTGATATAGCAAGGAACCTAACTACTTCTTTTCTTGCTGAAGTGGTAAAATTATTTAATTGCTATTAGGTTCTACTATATTGGATATTAGAGGTGTGTGTTAGGATAATGCAGCTTAAATATATTTTTAATATGGCGCGATATAATTTTTGGGGGTCAAGCTTGTATCGATTTTCCTATAGAGTCACGTGTCATTAAGGGTAGATTGGTTTGCGTCTAAAATAATAGTAGCTTGTTTTTGTATTGTTATCCCACATATTGAATTTGGTGTAAGATTTTGCAAGATTGAAGTACAAAATTATATCGTTTATTACTTAAACCGAAAACAAAATATAAGCAAGTAGCAACGAAGTGTAAAATTGTATTGATTAATCTTTTGTCGAGATTATTTTCATAATCCCGGGTACCAAACGATGGTAACTGATGAGTAGTTAAAAGAAGGTCAGCAAATTTGTTTTTCTCCTCTTTCACATTTACTTACTGTAATGTGCAGAGTGTTATTCTTTTTTCTCACACGGTGCAGCAGGTGAAACAGAATATAATTGTTCCCGACAATCCCATTTCTTTTTCTCTCTAAAAAGAAAAATTATTTTCCCTTCATCCTCTAATATATTTTTCATTATTTTATTTTTGTTTTTGGTTGGTTTGAGGTTTTGGTCATCATAAGCAGGTGAAACCTAGCTGGCAAGAAGGAGAGTTAACCACAACGAACCATTCAACCACGCTTCCCCTGAAAGTCTTTCTTCTTTATTTGTGATTTTTTTAAATTATACTTTGATGCGAAATGTGTGTAATTTATTAATCCAACTTGCATGTAGAAAATATGAAACTTTATGGATATTCTAAAGTCAACAAACCTTTGGTCGGAATTTAGCAAGAGTAATATGCTATGCTTCAGCATCTAAATTACTGAAAGGGTCGAGTTTAATTATACTAGTAATCTGGCTTTTCTTGAAAATGACCCTGTACTTAGAGTTCAGGGAAAAAGTCATTGGTAGGGGCATATACCCATCATAAATCAAAAACACACACATGATGTGAAAATACGTCATCTTCCCTTGTAATTATATGAATGAGAACGTAAGCTGATTATGAAATTTTTAGTATTTGTCACTGCCCGAAATTCCCAATCGCGGGATCGTGATGGCACCTGACATTCACTTGCTAGGCAATCCGACATTAATAAAGAAATTAACCAAATTTTAGCAATTAATTCAAGTAATGACAATAAACGAGAAATAAACTCCAAATCTAACAAAGTGCGAATATAAACAACGTGATACTAACTGCTCCCAGAAATTCGGAGTCATGAGTACATGAGCAACTAGAAGTCTACAAACATAGTCTGAAATAAATACAATTATTCGAAAGAGATAAACAATAAAGATAGAAAATGGAAGGGGACTTTAAGGTTTGCGAACGCCAGCAGATCTACCTCAAGTCTCCGTATGAAAGTGATCTGAGCCGATGTGCCTCTAAGCACCTATCATGCCCGACCTTGGGGAGCGCGACCGGCGCTTAACTAAGATACCACAGTCAAGTAAGCCTATAATTCAATGCCTTCTACCCGAACTTACCCCGTGAATAAAGTGAAGGTGCATTTCTATTAATTAAATAATAAGAAGGTCACGTGAACAACATAAGTCCATTACCATTAGTTACTTCATTTATAAATCTCAAAAAACATGACACAAACATAGTTTGAAGTGAAACATGTGATACAAATACAATATTTCTAGTTTGACTTTTCCAATACCAATATACAACCCTACTGTATTTACGGATCCTCTAACGGATACAAAAGAGTACTATGGTAGTGCTGGCAATAAGGCCCCGGATATACCTCAAAACATTATACATAAGGAACAAAAGATACAAGACTCCGAAATGAAATGGAGCTCACCAAGTCAGCTGGGAAGAGGGTGTACCGCTATCACTGATCGATGTTGTATGCTGTGGAACCACTTGCATCCATTAAAGATGCAGCACCCCGGCAAAAGGAACGTTAGTACATATGGAATAGTACTAGTATGTAAAACTAAACACACTCTCAAAGAATCGAGTAACAGTACAATGAAAAACAACATAAGATCAATGATAGCCTCAAATAATATAAAAGCATCAAGTTTGGAGCAAGGTAAGTTTTCAATATTTTAGGTTAGGAGATTTTTAGTACCGATATACCACCATAGTTTTAGCACAGAGTCCGATCTCGACCCAATCGGCTAAGTCATATCATCCCGAGACATCCAATCATAACACCACCGTATGCGCGGCATGGTGTCCGATCTCAGCCCGATCGGCTAAGCCATCTCACCGCACGAGTCCGATCTCAGCTCAATCGGCTAAGTCGTCTCACCACAATGTCGTGTGGGTTGACATCACTTTCCACTAGCAATTATCTAATCTCATTTAGGAAAATAATCTCAACAAATCAATCTCATCCCATTTAAGGGAAATAATCTCATCATATCAATAAAGATTTTTTTATCCTTCAATCACTCCTACACCGGCACGTATAATTTCGGGATTAGGTTATTTAAACCTAGTGTTCCTCGGTAACTAAACGATTCTACCAAAACATTTATTATAAAAAGGATTTATAGCTCATTTCATAGTCTTTCACTCGTCTTTTCATTTCAATGGCACTTGTGGCCACAAGTGTAATTTCGTTCTTGGCACGTCGGTCGTATTTCATATTTCATACACACTCCTTTCACTTTCAAACTTCATTATGGATTATCAATAACTAGGAATTTCTAACCAAGACTTTATGTGTACATATGAGCAATAAGATTCTTAAGCATATTGAGTTTTCATCCACAATTTAGCTTAATAAGTTGCAATTGAAACATGATTGAAATCATAATATTCCGACATATTGGTCATATTTGAATACATTCCCGAAGGAGAACACAATATGATAGGAGTATTTGACACACATTTGCAGTATATATCTTTCAACAGAAGCTTATTCGGAATAGTCAAATTTATAAGGAATAACTCGGAACATGAGAAATAAGAGCTTGGCCCTTCATACTTGAAACTTACGAGAACACCGAGGGATTCGATTCTAGGAAAGAAGTTTAGCCAACATACCTCACTTGAGCTTTCCTTAAATTACTACAATGTTCTGAAAATTCTAGCAACTTCAATCTATTTAGAGACAAAACAAAATTGAACCATAATTAGGAAGGTATTCATGTGTTCAGCTCATTTAAGCATTTCATCAAACACTAGGTAGGCATATTCGACTATAAGGTCCTATGGTGATGTTCCTTCACCCCACAAGTAATCCCAACTTCAATAGGTCACCCATATATACTCCACAACCTCTCTA